AATATTGTAATTACATTGTAGCAATATTGTAGCAATCTTGTAAACATATTTAGCAAAAATCGAAGGTTTCAGCAAAGATATTAAAAATGAAATACTTGAATAGTGTTCAAAAATCCGTTGGATTTTCTATTAGATATCCGTTAGTATCTGATAACAAAAATATATTTGCAGATAGTCGGATAGCTTGTTTGTAATAAAAAATTCGGTTTAACTGTATTTTTTAATTAATTCAACGGAATTATTCGGATAATTTACAAGTGAATTTCTGAAATTCGCAACTATCTGAAAATTAGACTAAATGAATAGTCATTATCCACGGATCCAAGCTCTAACTGTAAGCAGTAACTGACGGGTAAATGTACATATATTTGCATCAGAAATGAAATTTCTGAATGTGGCATCACTTATATAATGTAAACAGGCTTTTAATATTAAACATAACACTAGAGATCGGAACAAAGTACTTTAAATCGTTTAAATAGTAATTGCTTTAATATAAAAAAACTCTAACCATAACTCTAAGTAACTCTGATTTAAACTATAACTCTAACCCTAACAAAGAAAAGACGCGACTATACAGGCCATATAACAATCTAACCATGCCGACCTATTGAAATAGGTATTTAGAGTTTGCTAACGGAAAAGTAAGGTTTTGGTGGTCAACACCTGAACCAGCAGTCCCCAAAATTCCTGTTCGAAATATGAAGATCCTTTTAAAATTTAAAGGATTTTTAGAACCTTTAAGCAAATATTTCTCGATGAATATTTAACTGATTCCAGCAAACTTTTTATTTTAATTCCACGAATATTTATGATTAAAACAAAAAAAAAATTTTATCGAATTTGGCTAGATGGTCGTAGAGAAAACTTTGCTTAAAGTTTTAAAAAAATGTTGAAAATCTTGGAAAAAGAGCAAAAAATCGTAGTAAAAACATCTTTTTTTAACTTTAAGCGAAGATTTCTCAACAGTTGTCTAACCAAATTAGATGAAAATCTTTTTATTTTAATTCTGCATATGTATAGAATTAAAATAAATAATTTTTTATCGAATTTAATCAGGTAGTCATTGAGAATATTCATTTAAATTTTGAAAAAATTTACCGCAGCTTCTTTTTTTTGTAGGCACTAAAACTTCAATCGAAGTTTCTCAATGATTAACTAATCAAATTCGATGAAAATCTTTTTATTTTAATTCTATAGAGAAAACGTCACGTAAAATTTTAGTACCTACAAAAAGAAGCTGCGGTAAATTTTTTTTCAAAACTTCAAAAAAATATTTCTTAGTAATTACCTATTCAAATTCAATAAAAATTTTTTTATTTCAATTCTACAGTATATATATGTAGAATCAAAATAAAAAATTTCATCAGATTTGGTCAGGTCTTTGTCGAGAAATTTTAGTTTAAGCTAAAAAAATTTTAAATCTAAGAAAAAAATAATAATAACTTTGGTTTTAAATTTTAAACGAAGATTTCTGAATGATAACCTGACCAAATTCAATGAAAATTTTTTATTTTAATCCACATATATATAGAATTGAAATAAAAAAAATTTTATTGAATTTGAATAGGTAATTACTAAAAAATATTTTTTTGAAGTTTTGAAAAAAATTTACCGCAGCTTCTTTTTTGTAGGTATTAAAACTTTACGTGAAGTTTTCTCAATTATTATCTAATCAAATTCGATGAAAATTTTTTATTTTAATTCTATTTTATCTATAGAATTAAAATAAAAAAATTCATCTAATTTGATTAGATAATCATTGAGAAAACTTCGATTGAAGTTTTAGTGCCTACAAAAAAGAAGCTGCAGTAAAATTTTTTCAAATTTAAATGAATATTTCTCAGTGACTACCTGATTAAATTCAATAAAAAATTTTTTTTATTTTAATTCTATACATATGTAGAATTAAAATAAAAAAATTTCATCAAATTTGGTTAGATAACTGTTGAGAAATCTTCGCTTAAAGTTAAAAAAAGATGTTTTTACTACAGTTTTTTGCTTTTCTCTAAGATTTTCAACCTTTTTTTAAAAACTTTAAGCAAAGTTTTCTCCATGTCTATCTAACCAAATTCAATAAAAAATTTTTTATTTTAATTATACATATTCATGGAATTAAGATAAAAAAAAAGTTTGCTAGAATTAGTTAAATATCCATCAAGAAATATTTGCTTAAAGTTTCTAAAAATCCTTTAAATTTTAAAAGGACTAGCGGAGAACCCGTGCTTCACACGGACTAAGGTTAAGATTTTGTGGTTGTAAATGATAAGGTTTGTTTACTTGTAATATAATTGGTTTTTTTTATATTTATAGTTTATAATTTCTGTATTGGTCGTATAAAAAGGTTAGTAAATTGAAGTATTTTGGTTATTAATTAGAAAGTTGTTTTATTATATCTATGTTTTGGATTATTGATTATTTATGTTAGAATATTTCAGAAAGTAATTTTTTTATTTAAGAAATTGTATTTATAAAAATGCATAGGTTTTATTAGGTTATTTTTATTTATATGATATGCTTATTTATTCTTTGTGTGGCAAGAATAATAAAATGCATTTTATGCAAGATTTTGCATTGTACTTTGTTGATAGAGATGTTTTTATTATTTTGATAAAGTGAAATATGTTGTTTATTATTTTATACGATGAATTAGGGTGGTGTATTGTGATATTAATAAAGTAAATTTAGTATATTTTTGTAAAAAATAGATCATGCCATAATTAAAAATTCGAATAAATAATGAAGCCTTTTAGTAATAGCGAATTACTATTGCAATTTATTATTATTGTGTTTTAGGTGCTATTTTATAAATTATTCTATTATATATTTTTAAATTAAATTTATGGAAACAATATAAAAAGCGTAGAAGTTAAGTAAGAATTTGAGAAAATAATGTAAGTTTTTGTTATGCGAATATATTAAGATTAGAGGCATGTATAATTATGTTAAATCAGTATTTTTATAGGTATTTTAAAGATAATTTTATAGGATATTTTGTTTAAGGTCTCTATTTTTATATACTATATGACATTGGTTTAACATAAATTATAGAAGCTTTATTATTAAGTTTGAATATATATGGTAATAATGTTTACTTTATTTGACACAATAAATATATAAACATTTAAAAATATTATGAAATTATGATTTCAACTTCTTTGGCTTAACTATTAAATATAGGATTCGTATTTATTTATATTATAGTGATAAGGCTTAGTAAAAATTAAATAAGGCATAGTGGAAATTAATTAAAGCTTAGTATTTAAAATAGATACGAAAATAAAAGTCATGTGTTAATATTATATAATTATATGTTGCTTTTATAAAATACTGCATATATATTTATTATAATAAATTGATAGATATTAATGAAATTTATTTATAAATATACGGAAGATTTTTTCATGATAAAAGATTTTTAAAAGTTAATTAGCAATAGTAATTTGAAATTTTGTATTTTGTTTTTATTTATAAAAATTTATATTTTAGAAGAATTAAACCATCATGCCATGCTTCGCAGATACTATTATAAGAATTAAATATGTTAAAAATAGTGCGAGTATGAATGAAGAATCAGATTCGACTTCAATCTGGACTATTGGGAAATATCCAGTAGGAGAGGAGAATTGCGAAATTGAGTTGACATTATTTTTACCTAATGATGAAAAAGAGAGAGATCTTGATACGCAGGTTGTTTTTATAAATAATGAGTTTTATTCTGTTGGGAGAAAGATTGTCCCCGGAAAGTATAATAATAATATAAGACCGAAGGTATTTATATAATAATATACTTTATAAATTTAATATGATATTTGTTGTTTATTCTTATTTATTTTTTTAGATGACGGTTTCATCATCTACACATCTAAAAATACTTGATAAAGTTCCATTATCGAATAAAGGTTTCATTAGTTGGTGTTCTACAAGGAATGCCAAATAAAATAGGTAATAACGAAGATGCTGTTTTTGAGATACTTGTAGGTGACTATGCTTCTCGAGAATATAAAACATTTACTTTTAAGGTTGTTTATCCACACCTTAAATCAAGGTTTAAATATGTAAAGAATATTATTTGGCCACAAGAATCGATTATTTTTGTGGTTGGTATGATGGAGGTTATTGAGGGTAATTTTTATGTATATGTGACTAAAGTAAATAATATTGATGTTGCTACCTTGAATAATAGTGATGACAAAACTCAAATGCCGTCAATATCAGCAAAATCATTACGAACAAAGCTTTTATTTACTCATCAAAATATTAAGAATGTAAATAGTGTACCTAATGTTAAAGAAACTTCAGATGTTTTTGTAAATAAAGATAGTAATGAAGCATTATTGGATGATTTATTCTCACCAAAACATAAAAGAAGTAAGGATACAGATGAATATGATGATTTGTTTGAAACTGAGAATGTTGATTCTAGTGCTAAAATGAAAGATGATTTTATGGAAGATAATAGAGAGAAGGAGATAAGATCTTTAAGTAATATTGGCGAACATCAGAAAAAATTTAAAAGTCAGAAAAAAGGTAAAGTGCATAAGACACGTAGTTCAAATTATAAGGAATCACATAGTTTTGATGTAAATAATAAGGATGATAAATAACAGTAAGAGGTATAAATTTTGAGAATTTGATTTTGATAGAAATAGGCAATAGGTTAATTTTCTTTGATTAAAGAGTTTACTAATTTTATAAAAGATTTTTATTTATTACTTGATTTTCAAAATTTTTAACTCAAAATTTCTTAAACTTTTATTGATTTCTTTTATGAATGTGCATTTTTTTCTAAGATATTAATTTTTTTGAATTTTTTAGTTTAAATTTTGTTTACAATTTTTTGAATTTAGATTATTATTTGAATAAATGCTTTATTGAAAAATTTTATTTTGTATTGTATAAAGTTAGTAAATATATTGTATTATATTGAAGTGTTGATGATTAAATAGTATAAAATTATTAAAATTATATGCTATATAATATAGAATTATGTTATATTATTAATTATTAATATATGATATATTATAATATATGGTATTTATATAATGTAATTGTTTAACTTTATAATTGGTAGTTTAATTTAGAAGTTAGTTGCTATAAACAATTTTATTATTTATTAATTTTAAGTAATAATAAGATTTGTATTTGTAGTTTTATATATTATTATAAAAAATAAGTAGAAAATTATTAAATAAGGTAGTAAATATATATTATATAGTTTTAAAAATTCTTAATAATATAAATTAATTAATATATGTAAGTTTCATGAATGAGTTTTATTATTTTATTAATTTAAATATATATTAATTTGTTTGTAATATAATATTTTGAAATATAATAAGTGGGAAAAAAGTCAAATAAGTTTATTTGTATTTGGTCAGAATTCAATTTATTGCCTAAAATTTAAAATTACATTTTAATCTTATGTCTTCTATATAAAAATTTTAAGATATTAAATTGAAACATTTTATAAGTTTTGAAATATTGGTATAAGATAATATATAATTCTATGTATGTTATAGAATTATTATGTTATTTATTGTTTTTAATCTTTTAAAAAAACTTCAGGATATACTATATTTGTTGTAATTGTATTAGTACTATTTTGGGGAAAAGGAATTTTAATTGAATTTGGAGAAGTACAGTGAGAAAGGGCAATGTATAGTTGTCTATGTGAAAATACAGGGGTTCTAAGATCAAGACCAACATGTTTAACAGATTGACTTTGTGACTTATTTATAGTCATTGCATAAGCAACACGTACAGAAAATTGTCTTCTTTTAAAGACAAAAGGAAGTTCAGTAGTTGAAGGTTTTAAAGTAATGCGAGAGATAAAGGTTAATTGTCCAGCATAATCACTACATAAAATTTGAGCTTCAATAACATGATTTGTTATATTTGTAATTACTAAGTGAGTACCATTACAGAGACCTTCTCCAGGTGCAATATTTCTAAGAAGCATTATTGGACAACCTATTTTTAAGTTTAGTTTTGCAAGTGGTAATCTATTTGGATTGAGAGAGTTTAAAAATTCAGTTAGATATATATTATTGTTGTCAGCACCTTTTTCTGTTGCAGTGCTATCAGCACTATCATATATGTGTTGGTTTTCTGGAAGCATATTAAGAATTATTTGATTAATACAATCAACATCTTGATTTTGAGAAGAAAAGATAGTTCATTCACTAAGATAGCTATCATTACATATTCCTACTATATTAATATTAGGATATATATTGTCAATAAGTGATTTTAGATTTTGTTGTGACACTCTCATATGTTCTGGCAAAGGTAATAGATTATCTATGGTATTTGTACCATCGCCAACCTAAAAAAAATTAAATTAAAATAATTATAGTAAAAAAATAATTTATAAAAGTAATATTTAAAAAGAAAAAGTTATTTGTCTTTAATAGCCAATGAGCAAAAATTTTATTTTCTTCTAATTCAGCATTAAATCGCATAATTTTTTTAGGTTAAATATTAATATAATTTCATAAATAAGATCATCTAAATGAGGCAGCTACTATTTCTTCACTAGATCCTTTTCAATAACTGGCAATATTTGGCGAAAGTCTCCTCCAAATACAACTGTTATACCTCCAAATGGTTGTTTATTATCACATATATCTTGTAAAGAACGATCAACAGCTTCAACACAATGATGGTATTGCATAGGTAATTCATCCCAAATAATAAGAGATATTTGACGTAATAATTCTGCATCATTTGAATTTTTGTCAATTAAACAAATTGAGGTTTCATTTATATTTAGGGAAATTTTAAATCTAGAATGAGCTATATGGCCAAAACTAAGTAAAAAGGCTGCAATACCAGAAGAGGCAACACAGAGAACAATTTTTCCTAGACTTCAAAACTTCATTGTAATAGTATTATATAGGAACGTTTTGCCAGTCCCTGCAGGACCATTAAGAAAAAATAATTTGCCAAGTTGATTAAGTACAGAGTTAATAACACTGTTAAAAGCAACAATTTGTTCATCATTTAGTAATGGAATACGATTATTAACAATATTTTGGAGTTCTTGACAATTAAATGCTAGTTGTTCTGCTATAACATAGTTTTTGTTAGGCTGGCACCAATTGTGTGTCCAATGAGACATTTGTAGAAACATATTTAGGGATTGCCCTAAACAATGAAGAATTTCATCTATAAGAAAGAACCCAAAATCAAAAATTTGGTCTTCAGTAGGATCATGAATAGTATATACTTTATGTAATTTATAACAAAGATTATCACAAAGATTAATACGAAAATGTAACCATAATTTTCTTGGATGGGAGGGTGCACATTGTGTAAGTATTATTGTGAAAAGAGTTCTTAATTGAGAACCTGTATGTAAAATAGAAGCTTGTTCTAGACATTGAATCCATTCATTATCATCTTCTAGTAGTCCTAAAGCTGAATATGTATCTTTAAATGTTGTATAAATTATATTGTTAATAGTTTTTAAATGATCAAAAGATTGAGGGCCACATACAGTAGTAAGAAGTAGTCTAAGATAAAAAAGTTCACCAGCAGATGGATTAGCAAAGTATAGATGTCCAATTGCAAATCCTTGTTTTCTAGGTGACCATTTTTTTGTTGTATTATTCCAAACAAAGTGTTGTGGGAACTCTTGGTAAGTATACTGCCAAGCAAATTCAAGAGATTTACATGTTTCAAAAAATGATGTAAGAGTTGTTTTTTGATGTTCTGCACGGGCAAGAATAGTAGAAGTATTTTCTGTAGAGTTAAAAATAACTCCATGCTTACCAGGAAGATGTAATGCTAGTCTTATAACATTTGGAACTTCTTCATGCATATTCATACCTAAAAGACGCCATACTGCTTAAGAAGCACCAATATATCTTGCATTAATATACTGTTTTATTTCATCAGGTTCACGTCCAAATTGCATTGTTGTTCTATCATGACCTTTATAAATATATTTGTGAATATATTTAACTGCACGTACTGATACACATATTTCTATATTAATGTGACAATTGTATTTTCGGCTAAGATAGGGGTTATAAGGTACAATATCCCGGTTATCAATAATTTGTTCACAAACTTGAAATGTTTTAGCATTATATCTTCTAGCATAAATTGGGTATCCATTTGTATTTAATGATGTTATATTATTAAATATTTTTGGGTAAGCTTTTTCACATTTTCTATTTATCATACATGGGGCATGTGGGTTTCTAGAACCACAGGGTTCATGAACCATACATTGAAGAATAGTATCAAAAAGAGCAGGATCTGTTTTTTCATTAGGAAATTCAGCACATACTATATGGTCAACATCTGTAGGTTCTTTTATTTTATTATCATTATGAAGAAAGATTAAAAAAATGCATATGTGGAAGACCACGCTTTTGAAATTCAATTGTATAGACATATGCAACAACTTTACCAAAAATATTATTATGTTTAATATCATGAAGAAGTGCTCGACGCTTTAATTCAAACACACATGCAACCAAGTCTGGTCTATCTGCAGGAGTTTGGCCTAAAAATAATTCATTAGTTATTTCTGGCCAGTTTGGATTAGCAGTCATTGTTCCAAAAATATCTGGATGTCCATAAAATCGAGTAATTGCCATTGAATCTTGAAATAATTCAAACATTTGGCGAGCACTTCCAATATGTGTAGAAGGAAGGATAATTCGGCGTCCAATATTGTTAGCAGGTATTTCATTATTTGGATTGTTTTCAACTATATCAGCAATACCTTGATAAACATCAGCACGTAATTTGTCTTGGTTCATGTGTAGAAATCTTAATTTGTTTTGCTCAGTTGCTGCCCATGCATCGACAATAAATTCTTGAAATAATTTGCCTCCATGAAGAATTGTAGAAAATTCATTATATCGTGGAAAAAGTCTAAAAGAATAAAAATCCATTTGAGTAAGACATGAAGTATTATTTCGTTTTTTTAAAGATTTTCCTTGACTATCTATTAGATTATGACGTAGGTCAGCATGCCATCCAAGTTCTCCACAAGGAAAAAGTAAAACGTAATGGAGAGGTAAGTATGCAGGATGTCCTTCATGAATTCGGTGAAGAGGACCTCCTCGGAGACGAAGAACAATATCACGCATAGTTTCAGGTAATGACCCATCACCAGGTAATATAACAGCAATCTCATCTGAGGTAGGAAGATTGTATCGATGTTTGTCAGTTGATTTATTAAAATGAAGATAAGTTATTAAGTCTAAATTTTGTGTATTATTTTGTTGAGCCTGCAGAAGTATTTCATATGCTTGTTTGTATATAGGATAAAAACCATGGTGATTACGTAAAAGTTCTTGTATTTCCCACATTGTTTGTGATGATAAATTTTCATTTCGTTCCATTCTTAGATGATGAGCTATATTAGAATCGTAAATATAAAGTTGTGCATAAGATGCTTCAATATTTATTTCAGGGAGAAGAGCGCCTGTAAGATGATATAATTCACCATTGATACGAAAACTGTATGGTCCACAATTATAAAGAACAGATTCATCGATATTTGTACCAAGTGAAGTAAATGCAAGTGCTGCATTATACTGGCGAATGTTGTAACGAAATTCTTTTGAACGTTCATCTTGTCCTT